TAGATTCTGTATTGTTAGCCAGGCACAGGTGAAAGGTCAATATAATAAATAAATATAAATGTATAATGTTATGAGATTTAAGCTATTTTGTCTAAACATTTATGTTTTTGTGTTATACAGAGATTTATTACTGAAAATAACAGATAAAATATGAAGTTTTTTTTAAGAAATGTTTGATAACTATCCAGACATTATAAAGATATTGCATGTGAAATTTCAAAATTTTCTGATGTATAAAAGTATTTTTAATCTTAAAATGAAAAATACTTTGCATGATAGACAGGCAAGATGTGAAAAGAAAAAAAAGCATAAGAGAAACATTGCTTTACAAACCTTAATAATAAAAAAATTAGATATCTTGTGTATGAAATCATTGTAATGTTTACTGATAAACTGCCAAATTTCATTAACATTAGCTGACTAATTTAAAAGTTATAGTATGAAAGCTATAACAAGCACAAAATGGTTACGAGGTCAGTCCCAGGGACCGAGCCTGGGTTGAAAGAGTTAATTTATCACTGAAAAAAATATTTTCTGTGGATAAATTACTTTACAAAATGCAGTGGACCCTCATGAAATCTTGACAGAATCAAGAAATACTCATTTTTACATGAAGATTTTTCTGCAAGAGGTGAACTGATGAGCACAAAAATTTTATTATACGAAAGCTGTATTACTATATTATTACTGAAATACAATTGAGTGCTTTTTGTTGCTTGTAGGATAGTGTGATGACCAAATTAGCCACTAATTTCTGTATGACTGACTCTTGTTTATAGGGTTTAAAGTTTAATAAAACTGATGGCAAAATATCTGATTTAAGCCATCAAGTATATTTTGGGCAAACTGAAGACTTATTTGTCATATGTAAAGATTTGATGAGGGGCTATTTATATATAAAGTTTAGTATATTTATCTTTTATCAATTCCTAAGCCAAAACGTTTATTAACCTGCAGTATTAATCAATATTGTGAAATCTCGGAGGTTCTCAGTGGCTGTAATGGCAATAAATACTGGACTGATTAAAAAAACTTGGCTGTAGAAAATCTTTTATATTTATGTACTGAGTATGATCCACTGTAGTGCCACTGACAACAGGAAATAAACTCAACAAATACATACAGTGTGCGGGAATCTCATCTTATACTGAATATGATCCACTGTAGTGTCACTGACAACAGGAACTAAGGTTAACAAAAACATAGTGTGTAGGAATCTCATTTCATACTGAGTATTATCCACTGTAGTGCCAATAACAACAGGAAATAAAGTCAACAAATACATACAGTGTGTAGGAATCTTCATCTCATACTGAGTATGATCCACTGTAGTGCCACTAACATCAGGAAATAAACTCAACAAACACATACAGTGTGTAGGAATCTCATCTCATACTGAGTATTATCCACTGTAGTGCTAATAACAACATGAAATAAAGTCAACAAATACATACAGTGTGTAGGAATCTCATCTCGTACTGAGTATGATCCACTGTAGAGTCACTGATAACAGGTATAAACTCAACAAAAACGTACAATGTGTAGGAATTTCATTATGTAGATGAGCTTGACAGATAAATGCAGTTTGAGAACATGCTCGAACAGACGTACCTAATAACCTAACAGTTAAACTCAATTTATGGAAGAAGTACATTTACTAGTCACTATAAAGACACATATGTAAGTGCATATGACATACACAAAATCATATTACCAAATACAGCTTTTGGTTAAAACAAAGATACATAAAAAAATAAAATAAAACATGTTTTAAATCCAGATCTACTGACATGTAATGCATAACAAAACACAGTTCTGAGTCCATACCATTTATCAAAATTAACTTGAAAATATGAAGCATTACAATGAACATGACCATTAATCACTATCATATTAAACATTATTTATAAATGCAAGGAGGCCGGATATAAAACTTTTAGTGAATAGCTTGCATTATTAGAATAATCAGACCAATCTGATAAGCAGATTACATTGTATCTCAATCAATATATTAAGAGTTGGTTGTTGTTTGTATGAAATCTTACTTTGTTGGTTATAAATCTTGTTTACATATGAAAAATATTTTGCACAGAATACAGTTTTACAGTGTATATCTTATGTTGTAATGTGCAGGATATTAATGGTACTTACTGTGGGAGTAACTTGAACGTGTTAGTATTGTTTTTTTTTATGTGTAGGACACTTTGGAGTGTGCTCTCAAGTTTCATCAAGAAACACCTATCAAAAAGGGTTATGTAACTTTGCAAGATGCTGAACTTCACAAGAGGCTTCTTACACAGGTTGGTAGGTTTAATTTGTAGACACCTGACAGCTTAGCCATCAGATTGAAGCATTTATACTAATGCAAGCTTGCAGACTTCATGTATAAAGATCTAATAGCTTGGACATCAGATTGAAGCTGTTATTCATCTTGACTGCTAATACAAGCTTGTAGATTATGTGTTGAAAAATTTTGTATATTTAGTAGCTTTTAAATACAAATTGTAATATTTTGTATTGTTGACTCTTAATATTTAATATTCATAAACAACTTGTAGATATTTCCAGTGTTGGTTATAAAATTTTTATATTCATGTTTAATAGCTATTTAAAACACTTCTAATATTTAAACGTTGAGCTGTACAGATACAGTATCAGAAAATTATAAACAACTGTGCATGCACTGAAAGCTGATTAAGAATTATATGCATTGATGTTTAAGCTACAAACCAGTAGTTTTACTGATAATGTTTGACATTACTATTGAGAAGGAGCACCTTGAAATGTTTTATATGTTGTGCCATAAGAATGTTTAAGAGGTTAACAATTTTCATTGTTTTGAATACACAATCTTCCATTTAGTTGCCTTGTTTAAGAAACCAAGTCTTTATTTATTATGCAATACTTAACTCGGGTTCATAAGTCCAAAATATGTTAAATATTGTTAAACTAACTAGCTCAAGAGACCAAAACCTTATACATGTTTAAGGCCACTCTGCTTAAAAAGATAAGTCTTATACTTATTTTGGGACCAAAATCTGAAACTTATATTAGGGTCACTTAGCTGAAAAATCAGTAACCTGATATTTATGTTTCATTCCTAGGTTAAATAGACCAAAATCTGAAACTTATATTAGGGTCACTTAGCTGAAAAATCAGTAACCTGATATTTATGTTTGATTCCTAGGTTAAATAGACCAAAGCCTGATACATATATTTGGGTCCGTGATTCAAAAACCAAAACTTGAAATATTTAAGACTATACATCATGAGATCTAAATTAATATATTAAAGCTACCTCTCTCAAGAGACTAAAATTTGATACACTGTATGTAATAAGATTACCTGGATTAAAAGATCAAAAACTTAACACAGTTATTAAGGCTGCCTACCTAACTCACTTGCATCAGAACCTGATACATGTACACGTAACAATACTGCCTGACTTAAGTGACCATTTAGTTGTACTGAATCAAAATATTAAGACATGAAATAAATACAGATTTTTATAGCCAAACATTATACCATAAATGTGCTTTGGCTTTATATTTTGAGAATTCCAAACACCCAATTACTTTTGAAAATGTTAAAACATGGTACATATATTGTATAGTAGATAAAGAAAAACCATATGGGCTTAGATTCCTTTAAACCCTGATCCTTGGAGAATTTTAAAAATGTAGCCCTGTTATTAAATTACTGTTTTATTACTTTGTTTCCCCACTAAAGTGTAATTTATTGAAAGTAAATTCCATAGTTAATTTCATTGCTGTTCAATAATGTTTTATGTTGCAATGTTATTGGCACTAATGATTTTGCTTATATGTTGCATATGAAACATTAGCACTATCTCTGATTTCTGTGTGTGCAGCTTTTTTGAATTCATAATCATCACTTTTTTAGTATTTTTGTATTGTCTAACTCAGCAGTTATCAATATGTTGTCCATGGAAAGGTTGCATATTAGAGAAAGGAAGTAGCAACATAGTGTATAGATTCCCATTGTTGTCTTCTGAGAAAATAAGTAAATAAAAAATTCAGGTGTCACACAAACAAAAAGGTTTGAGAACCAATGTTCTAACTGAAGGTATTTCAAATTGTGTGTGAAAACCATCTCTAAAACAGATGCCACCAAAGAACATACAATTTTATCACCATTATCTGAGTTAGAATAGTCATTTAGAGGATTGTACACATTCCAATTAGAACTTGTAGCATTACTAGAGGTAACAAGATATTAAAAAAAATATTATACAATTTATTGTATGTTAAACTATTTTTCATTCCTGTAAGAAATACTTTTAAATACATCTCTATTTTCTCTGTTCCTGTAAGTTTAAATGATACCTTCATACTTGTTTCTGTGCTATCAGAATAGTTATTTTGATAATGTAACAAATAAATTAATGTATAGTGACTAATATGAACTATTATAATTCCATAAAGATTTTTTAAGGGATGTTTATAGTGAGAACACCAAGACATTCAAATATTTTAAAACAAGAAAATAAAGTTTATTGCCACTAACTTTAGTATGACCTGTATCTGAAAATTTGTGTAATTGGAAACATATTATTTAAGTTTGCTGTCCCTTTAGTGTAGTGTTACATTAATATAAATCTCAACCTCCAAAGATGTGATGGAACGAATTAACAAAAATTACTTAAAAACTCATGGCATGACATGATAATAATTACTACTTTTGTTGGTTCAGAGTAGGAATACATCAGAATATTATAATAAACCTTGAGTGATTTAACTGGGCCAAAATCCTCAAAATGTGGTAATAAATTCTCACATCAGAAACAGAAATGTAATTTTTTTTTCATTTTTAATCCAAAACCCAGCTTAAAAACTGAAAGTGGTTTTAGTACAACTTCCAAATTGTTTATCGAGGTTGACCTTTTTTGATTATAGTTTATTTTCACTTGCAGTGTAAAGTTAGCCAGAAACTTGGGTATTGCAGAGCAAACAATAACCTGAAGTATTTGAATAAGAGTAGTAACAGACAAAGCACACAAGATGATCTTTAAAAAATGTTTTATCAAAGGGAACAATAGATGAGCTTCATTAATAGCAACTCTTATTTTACCTTGACTGGGATACAAATGTTTGCAAGTCTCTTTGTGGATGGTCCTGATGTCCCAAGTTGATCCATATTCCTTTGTTTTCCAATGCCATTAATCACAAGGAATATCCCCATCTTGAAAAATTCTAAATCCCTCATTTGAACACACACCTTTGATCTGAGCATGTGAATATTTTGTTTCAGAAAGGGCTTTTACATACCCTTTCCAAAAGCTACAAATTTTTGGTGGCATCACAAACAGTGTCAAAATGTAGTCCTAATTCATGTCTATCCACTGTGACTATATATTGGCTGTAATTGTCATGTGACTTGCTGATTTGTATATTCAAAATTGTTTTAATACAACACACTCAATAATCTTTATATAATTTTTTACTTATATTTTAAGCTAAATTCAGTGTTAGTGTAATGTTGTTTCAACTAAATTTTTATATATTTTTTCCTTTCAGTTAACAGCTGCCTGCTATGAACTACATAGTATTTTTTTTCGAACTTTCTACCAAAGAAAAAATGGCAATCATTGCTCAGTCCAGAAAGAGTTCCAAAGGAAGGCAACAAGTATGACTTAATAGTTTTTATAGAATATAAGTGCTGTTTAAGAATTTTAATTGAAAGTTAATTTAATTTTGATTTCTTTCTGAATACATTTCAATATCATACTGAAGATAATGTCCGCACAATTATCAAACTTTACAGATCACTTTCCTTGGGAATGGGAAATAAGCTTCTTGGTTTTGGGGTTAAAAGGTCAAAGATCAAAAATCACTATTTAAAAAAATAGAAATTTGTTTTTTTTGTACAAAAGAAAAACAACAAAATACACACATATCAGAACAGATAACTGCTAATGGTCGGGGGGGGGGATCAGCCATTCTACTGATCGTTATATTTTAATTTTCAGTTTAGTATGATTTAATTATTTTATTTTAAGGTCAGTTCACCTGCAGAAATTCAATTAAATCCAGAACCTGTAAGGAAAATGTCTTCAGCAACTCTCAAATCCTTGGAAAGGAAGAAAGGAAGGTAAGTTAAATAAATTATAAGTAGTGTAATATAAGAAAAGTTTGTGGAATTATATATGTACAATCTGCCTTATTGAAATATTAGCTTAACTTTAGTTTTGGGTGTCATTTCTAAAATAAGAGTATCTACTGAAGCATATTTGAGTTTTTAATATATCAAAACCAACTTGTGCACAGTAAAAAAATAATTGTTTAACTATCAAGTTACTGATTTAATTTCATACTATTCAGTACGGGTGGTGTCCACATACTGCTTCATATTAACTAATTTTGGTTTTGCCTGTGGGTGAAAGAGTCATGCATTTTCTAGTGGAATCGTCTGCAATACTGGTGGTATGTTGTTTACATTTTTTTTATGACTTGTACGTTATGAGGAACCCTGTAATCAACAAAGTCGTATACCCACAAATAACTTGGTGCATACATGGGTTATTAAATTTTAAGGTTAATTATTCAGACCCAACATATGCGAGTGTGTATGTTATATACAGAGAAAAAGTTGCATCCAATCTTTCTGTTGATACTAATAACACTTCATTTCTTAATATCTATGTTCTTGGTTCAAGGAAGCAAGCAATGTCTAGATCCATGAATTATTTATCCCCAGCTAAAATGGAATCTCAGGGATATGGAAAAAGGTTTGTAGAATGGCTGAGTGTTAGTTTACAGTTAAATAATGTAAAATGGAACACTTAAGTAAGTTTTGTACTAGAAAGTTTTCTTCTTGAAAAATAAATTGGCGAGTTGGGTAATTTATCTTTGATCTGAATTGTTAAAGTTGAAATAAAAACATTAATTACAGAATAAACAAACAAAATATTAAAAGTTGAGAGAAATGTCAGTTAAAAAAGTTAAAGAAGTAAATTGTATGAAAATAAGTAAAAATAATTCATAAATACCAATATACAAGGTGTCTAGAAATTGTTAACAAATTTTTGTAATACAAATACAAAAAATTTATAAATTGTGTTTTATTACACAGCATATATGAGGGTTTGCCAGTTGGTGTTCCTAAAACTATATAATTTTTAAGGGGTCATCATGATTGGAGCATCTAATATTATTGGATGGAATGTCCAGTATTAAAAGCACATTTCAGTTGTTGAAATTGTTAAAATTTGAATGGAATATTAAATAACAATATTTAGTGATTAAGATTTTCCAGAATTTTCTGTACTGTAACATTTATGATCAAGAATTTTTTATCAACAGAGTTTGATATGTAGGTTACTGTTTAGGTCAGTAATTCTTTTTCATTTGAACTTTAGAGCAGGAAGCTCTGTTATGATAAAGCCTCGAAATTTACCTCCTGGCATGAAAAATTCTATGAGTACCAAGCTGCAGGTGGTTGATTCAAACAAAATTCTCTCACGAGAAGGTAATGTCTTAGCCTTTCCCCTTTTTTCACATAGTTTTTTAAAATTAAGGCAAACATGCTGTGAAAGTGACATCTGTTGCTGTTTATAACAAACTTTAACTTGGATCTATAGCTGGTGCTCAGAAAGTGTTATGGAAGCCATTATTGTTTAGCACTGTATTAACAAGGCTATTGTATCATTTGTTTTTGTAACAACTCTTTTTTTTTTTTTGCTCATCAGGTTGAAGTATTTATGTCTCATAAAACTACCAAAAACGTAGGCACTGAAAGTGAAACAACGGATGTGAAATAGGAGTTTCACAATTATGTGAAGTTTTTGTAAAATGTGAGGAATAATAGTGTTTACAGTCTTGTTTTTGTGGAAAAAATGGTTTGCATAAAACATTTTATATGAAACATTTATGAAGTTTATTAAAGTTTTAAGAAGAAAGGATTTCCATGGGTCTTCGAAATCTTGGAAAATTAATTTTAAAACAGTTTTTTCAAGTCTTTAATTTCCTGGAAAACATGCAATTTTTGTACATTATAATTTTAAATGCTTGAAAAATCCTGGATTTTTTTTAGGCTACTGAAGATTCATCTATTTCATAATTAGTCACTTCAACAGTTAGGCCTATGCTGTTAATATGAAACAAATCTTGCTAATCACAACTGCTTTGCATACTTTGAAAAAAAAACATATTTTCTGTGGGAAAGTGTCAAGATTTTTTGAATGAAACCTCACAGGTATTCTGGCAGCCAGTGGAAATAGCCGATCAGTCACCAGAATGTCTCGTGGTGAGCTTTGTCTCGACTGTGCTTACTCTTTGATTGCAATTTTTGTCTCTGCGTAAATTCTATGTATACTTATACTGGTACTATAGTTGACCATTGCATCTCTGCACAAGAGCCTGTACAAAGGACTACAATTTTGAATAGAGTTGTTTAAACATTTGTTTAACAACAAGTAAAAGCTTGGAATGGTCTATTCTTTCATTGGGTGTGTGTGAACTAGACTAGTTTTGGAGAATTCCACTCCTCATCAATGACCCTGGACACTACCACCAATGAAACTTGAGACCAAACTAAGCCTTTATAATAGTGGGGTATTGAAAATCGAAATGGTGTATTTAAGTGTTTTACACTCACAAAAAAGAAACCTATTATTTTATAGGTATTTGAAAAACTTGTAGCGTTTTGCCACAATTTAATTCTAATCTGGCTCACAGACTCACCCCAAATGAAAGAATAGACCATTCCAAGCTATCATTTGCTGTTAAACAAATGTTTAAACAACTCTATTCAATTATGTACCAGCTGCCCAGTGTTCGCTAACAACACAAAGAATTAAATTGTGGCGGAATGCTACAGGTTCTTCAAATACCTATAGAATGATAGGTTTCTTTTTTTGTAAGTATAAAACACTTAAATACACCATTTCAAAAAAGGGCTACAATGTTTAAGACAAAGCTTTAGATGTGCATATCTTGGCTACTGCAAATGACACTAGGCCTACTCCGAACACACTTTGAGATTGTTCATTCATCCGTGAAAATACCAACAAATGCCAGGCAAGTGTAAATTTAAAAGCGAGTGGCTAAAACCCAGTGACTTTAAGGATTGGTTGAGAGAAATTAATGATGTACACAGAGCATAATTGTCAGTCATGCAAAACTTCTTTTGATATTGACAATATGGCAAGTCAGCTCTTACCTCGCACATAAGTGGGAAAAACACATTGACTACACCAAAGCAATTGCACTAGCAGAAAAACAGCATGTTGGCATACAGACCTTCATTAATATATGTAGTTAAAATAATAAAGTTGAGGGATAATGATGCTTTAGATTTTGCTGCCAAATTTATTTGTGAAGTGCAGAACTTGACAGATATTTCAGGCCTATGTTTACGTGTTATACTAGACCCATAGTATCAAGGCCCTAGTAATTGGCATGACTTGAATAGAGTGTTAATACTACAGAATTATGACAGTATGGCTAATTAGCTGTTTTATGACATTGAAATAGAACATCAGTTACATAAATGGGCAATTTAGATCTTTTTGCATCAACATGATTTTGACAGGTGTAATTAATGTAACAAATTTATAGCTAGAGTGTAAGAAACTTATTGATATATCTTTCAAATGAAACATGTTTCATAAAATTACTGTTGTTTGTGTCTATGACCCCAACACAGTAGAAAGGTCTTGATTCTGTAAACCTGAGATCCTGAAAAAATCATGGAGTTTTGCTTTGCTTTAGGTGTATGAATCCTGGAATTTTCTGCATTTTAAATAGTAACAAGGTGCTGATTTTGAAAACTTTACTATAACTTAAAAGTGAAGAAAATTATTTTTTTTTCATTCTTAGGCCTTGCTGTATATTTAAGAGAGTGAAATAAAGTTTCTTTGCAAAATAATTTTGACTTTATTCTATTTGGTGGGCAACTATTACCAAGTAGCACAAATTACAACTAGAACTGAGTCGTTAGCCATATTTGCTAATCAATTGACTGATGGCCCCATCAATCAATAAGTATAGTGTTCCTCAAGAAATAGCTACATCTAGTTGCCTTTCCTCTAGTCAGCAGTTCGAAATGAAAATAAAATTTGTAATGAAGTTTCTTGGCAAAATAATTTTGATTTCATCCTGTTCGGTTTGCAACTATTACCAACTGATAACACCTTGTGCATATTTAGTACCTCATCTTCAAGTTGTGTAGTTGTTTAAAGATTGAATAATCTTAAAGCAGTACATAAAATGGTAGTAACTATGATGCCATAATAGCACTTTTACCAAGTTTTCTTTAAACTTAAAGATTTGGTCATGATAGAAATTAAAAAGCTTGAGAAAAACTTTTCCTAGTGTCCAAAAAAAGAACTAACACATAATACAAAATTTATATGTTCTAGTAAAATGTCCGGGTGATTTATTCAAATAGTTTTTTTTACTTAATTTAGTTTTTTGAGGTAACATTTGAATTCTCTGATATTAACAGGGGTACCAAGAAGAACAATCAGACGTGTGCGACGATCCCTTTATGACAAAACCACCACTGAGTCGCATGTTTCTCAAATGAGAACATTGTTTCCAAGAAATGAGCAGGCTGATTGGAAAGATTAAAACTAAGTTATTTTTTTATTGGAAATTTCTACACAAAAGTTATTAGCTGTTATACAAAAATACAGAATGGAAACTTCCTTTTTTTATAGAATCTAAAAACTACAATTTTTTTCTGCCAGTGATGTCGGTAATTAATAATTTTCGTAACTAATTTATATTTTTCTGTTATCAAATGTAATTTGTAATAAGGAACCGTTTCTTGAAGCTTTTGCTGTATGTTAATTTTTACTAGGCTATATGTATTATTTAAAAGTTAACGTATATGTCATTGTTTAGTAAAGTGATTTTTTTGAGTTATAACTTTCGTTTAGTGCGTTATTAGTTTGCGTTTTTAAGAGGTTTAATGCAAATTTTTTGCTTTTGTTTACAGATAAATAATTTTCAATAATTCTTCATGTGTTTGCTGTTCAACATTTAATTTTTGTTGCTATGTAGTTATTTTTCCTTTAGTTTAGAATTTGAAAACTATTTTCAATTTTTATACCAAGTTGTATCTTGCTGTTAGGTGTTATTGCTGCTAAAACCTAGTCTCAGTGAATTTTGTACTTGTCATAATCAGTGATAACCTTTACTTAATATACTCTGATACCAGTATTTTCATCAGGATCCTCTTGTTATGATTAAGGATTATAGAAGAACATTCTATTTAAAAATATATATATTTATATATATATTTTTGTATGTGTTAGGATTTTTTACTTTTTTAAAAAATAACATAAAAGGAGAGAATTTTACTGAATGTAAGTTGTCAGTTTTATAATAAATATAATGTTATACCTCATTATTTGGAACATAATTCATTGGAAAATTAAATATTCAAAAACATGTAAAGAAAGTAAAGGCAACTTTGTAATCATTAAATCATCTACACTGTACTCACAATTTAGAATTCTAGCAGCATAATTTGTTTCTATCTGTATAGTCACTAATGTTTTTTTAAATATTAGGTATTATTGATAATCTGATATTACACTTGGCTTATCGTTTACATGTTAATCTACGAGATGTTAGAATTTTCTGATACCACTCTTTTAAATGTTCATACCTTTCTACATATTCATGCAATATGCAGCTTGCTACCATAAAGATGATCCATTATGTGTGTATCTGTTAGCGTTCATCAAATAGAGTTGGCTAGATTGATTACCTAAGTTTTAGTATGATAACTTGAAGTTGTCAGATGGTGTATTTTGTTTGTTAAGTTTTTACCCGATAGTTGTAGTTCTCTCGACTTCGATAAATTCAGTTCTTAACGAATCAAAAATGCTTGTATTTGATCTCGTTTGAACAAATATGTTCGTTCAGAGAAGCCAAAACTTGAAATTTTCATACAGGTTATATCATTAGTTTATAGTAAGATTATAATCGCATTCATTTGATTCGTCTTTTATTTCGTACTGAGCCCCCTCAGTGGCACAGCGGTATGTCTGCGGACTTACAACGCTAGAATTCGGGTTTCGATAGCCGTGATGGGCAGAGCACAGATAGCCCATTGTGTAGCTTTGTGCTTAATTACAAACGAACAAACATACGTGAGGTGCATTATAAAGGATTATTTATCATTCCACTATCGCGAACTTATCGTAAAACAACAACATTTGAGCTCATTCATTTTAATCCTCGAAATCTTGAGGAATTTTTAGTAAGATTTGTCTTGGAAATCAAGTTAGTCGTAAAAAAGTATAACATTTGTAAATGACATATAATTATTTTTCATCGATTATTTATTTTACCTTTAAATTCATAGATGGCACCACAGTACACAGGAAAACATTTTTATTTTACGTTCAAGCTGCCAAACTACAGCAACGGCATTAGTTAATGAAAATGCTTGTTAGTGAGAAGTTTGTTATTTTCATGTCACATGGTTGAAGTGGTGTTGTTGAACCAAATATGAAATGAAAATAAGTAAGGCTTAATGGCTGATCTTTCAAAGCGTGTAAAAATATTTCATATATCTACGTTTTTAATCCAAAATGCGACTTTACTGCCTTATTATCTTTGAAAAAGTACTAGAATATAAATCTTACATTCATAGCGATAATAAAAAAAGGCCGACAAGTTTATTTCAGTTAATACCGGATCTATAGCAATTCTTGTGTTTTCCTATGTGTGTATTTAGAATTCAATGTGCGATATAACAATATAGGATATAAAGTGGGTAATATCTAGTTATATACTTGTGCTGTTGTAAAAGCCAAAACAAGAGATCGTAGAGAAGGAGATCAAACGCCCAAATGTTGAGTGTCTTAGAAGTGATGAAGAAACAGGTAATGTTTCATGCAGAGATATACAACCTAGCTACAATAGAAGGGCTAGCCTCTGTGAGACGGGCATGACGGGAAGTGGATGACAGAATTTAACAGGGAACTATTCGACGGTATCGGAAGTGCCAGTGACACTGGATGAATTGAAGAGAATTCTTGGAAGCAAAGAAGAATATTGGATCAGGTCCAGATCATATGAAATGATCTAAAATACAAACTCTACGGAATAGTCTGGAAGCAGAGCTAGTTGAAATCATCAGTTTGTCAATGTTGGAGTGGAAAATGAAGAATGACTTCAGAGAGTACTTAATGGCTGGAACCATTCAAAGACCACAGTACATTGAAGGGATATAAACTAATAACGATGCATGGGTTAAAGTTCATGGAAAAGATAAGACCAAAGAGATTCACAACCTTATGTGACACAACATCCAGCTGTATGTGTAGACATAGATTCACAACCTCGTGTCACACATAGCATCCATCAGTGTGTGTATAGACATAGATTCACAACCCGGTGTGACACACAGCATCCATCAGTGTGTGTGTGTAGACATAGATTCACAACCTTTTGTGACACACAGCATCCAGCAGTGTGTGTGTAGACATAGATTCACAACTTCATGTGACACACAGCATCCAGCAGGTGTGTGTGTGTGTGTAGACATAGATTCACAACTTCATGTGACACACAGCAGCCAGCAGTGTGTGTGTGTGTGTGTAGACATAGATTCACAACTTCATGTGACACACAGCATCCAGCAGTGTGTGTGTGTGTGTGTAGACATCACAGCAGTGAAGATACCTATTGAGTGGATTTTGGCAAGGAAGCTAAAGGCTTTAGAAGTCTTCGGCATTCACATACGATGAGTATTGGCCATGCTAGACACCAGGCACTATTAGTTGAAATTTGGCAAATGAAGACCTGAAATCTTTTATATCAGCTCTGGCTTGTCACAAGGAACCCTAATGAGTCAAATCCTCTTCAACATAGATACAGCTGATCTAGTTAACACACTGAGTCATATCCTCTTCAACGTAGATACAGCTGATCTAGTTACCCCACTGAGTCATATCCTCTTCAACATAGATGGGGTAACTAGATCAGCTGTATCTATGTTGAAGAGGATTTGACTCAGTGGGGTAACTAGATCAGCTGTACTGAGTCAAATCTTCTTTAACATAGACACAGCTGATCTAGTTACCCCACTGAAAGGCCCTAGAGTGATACCATTTACATATGTTGATGTAATTGTTGCGTCTCACACACACACTAACACAAGCAATGGAGGTCTGTTTCCAAACATATAAAGCTTGTTAGATGTTGGCTACTAGATCTCATGCAGCCAGAAGAAATCTGTTACTTTTGTGTGTGTTGTGATGGAGTACAGAATGACAATTTCTGCTCATACTGATCGATCATCTAAGAAGGAAATAAGGGAAGAGTCTTACTCTTATCAAGTATGCTACAGCTCAAAAAGTACAACAAAAAATCCTAATTAATCTGATGACAGCAACAGTCATGACCAGAATAGAGTATGGGCATAACTGGCACAGTCAGTAATGACCAAGTTACCCAAGGGTGTAGGATGCAGCCATGCAAATAGCAACAACAGCAGCTAAATCAATGCCCTGCAAATTGGACTTTTGGCTTGGTTTGAGCAGAATTACTACAACACAGGATTCTAGCCAGCCAAGTGCTACTAGGAGCAACCACAACCATATCTCACCCACTATATCGACACTTGAGAGAGATAGCAAACAAAGCAGTAATACAGAGGCTGAAATCGATCAACTCGTAGGTGAGGCCAAGAAAGATGTAAAAGAGATATGTCCACTGGAAACATCAAGAGTATTGAGTTGGTCTAGGCCTATGACATTAAGTTAAACACAGTGTGATTGACATTGGGATGTGAAGCCATGAGATAGATATACGAGCAGAGACCAATACTTATTATAGCAACGGATGGTTCAGTCAGAATAGACGTGGCTTCATGGGCAGGAGTCGTGTAGAAATATGAACATGTAGTGCTTGAATGGTTATTGGCAAAAACTGATTGATCTTGCTCATTCAGAGCAAAATGTGAAGCATATGGGGATCCATTTATCTGGTTGACCAGTAACCATGAAGATTATGATGCGAAGCATATGGGGACCCATTTGTCTGGTTGACCAGTAACTGTGAAGATTATTATGTGAAGCATATGGGGACCCATTTGTCTAGTTGATCAGTAACCGTGAAGATTATGATGTGAAGCATATGGGGACCCATTTGTCTGCTTGACCAGTAACCTTGAAGATTATGATGTGAAGCATATGGGTACCCATTTGTCTAGTTGATCAGTAACCGTGAAGATTATGATGTGAAGTATATGGGGACCCATTTGTCTGCTTGACCAGTAACCATGAAGATTATGATGTGAAGCATTTGGGGATCCATTTGTCTAGTTGATCAGTAACTGTGAAGATTATTATGTGAAGCATATGGGGGACCCATTTGTCTAGTTGATCAGTAACCGTGAAGATTATGATGTGAAGTATATGGGGACCCATTTGTCTGCTTGACCAGTAACCATGAAGATTATGATGTGAAGCATTTGGGGATCCATTTGTTTAGTTGATCAGTAACTGTGAAGATTATTATGTGAAGCATATGGGGGACCCATTTGTCTAGTTGATCAGTAACCGTGAAGATTATGATGCAAAGCATATGGGGACCCATTTGTCTGCTTGACCAGTAACTGTGAAGATTATGACAGGATCATACTCCTGACTGACTCGCTAAGCCTCCTAAAAAAGTTGGAGACAGATTTTGTCCAAGCACATGCGAAAATCTTTGACAGACTTGAAGGCTCATCTGATAATGACAATATATTCAATGTCACAGCGTCATATCATTCAACGAAAAAGTTGATCTCGTAGTTATTAAAGCACAGATAGCTCTTGTGCATCCTGACAAGACCTGAGAAAGACGTCGTCAATGAAATAGTATTTAGACTGGTGGAACAGACGTCATACTGGTCAACCGGAGGAAAGAGGGTGGAAGCCTGGAAGTGAAGCGAGTGCAAAAGTATGTGGCATTGGACATTATTAGTAGAAAAACCGTTGGAGAGAGTGTGCCAAACTCTACAAGCATAAAATAGTAGTAATTAGGGTTTTAAAACAATTTTCTTTACATTGGGTACGTGGTGTTATAGAACAATACAGATACACAGTAATTAATAATGAAGTATAAAGTAAATGTGATTGATACTGACCTGTTGCCTCCACGTGTTCGGTGGCGCAACGCCACCTGGTTTACATACTGATACATGTGCTACGACGGCGCTCCACAATTGGAAGGGAGGAGAGCTGGTGTTAAACTCCTCAGTCATGTTGATAATTAATAGAGAAGAATCTTCGTAGTTCCGGGGTATGGTGTCTTTCAGAGCTTATTATCGTAAAAATATTA